GCCAACTTAAGAGTGTCCACAAAATTTAAGTGCTTACAGCGGCTTAAAAATGCGTTTAGTCTTTGAAATGTTTCCTTCTTTTTGCTACCGACGTACTCGAAATCAGATTCTTCAGCTTTTATTACATGGGAACTATGTAGTTGCTGTTCTTCCAACTGGGTTTGGTAAATATCGTTCGTTCGCTAAACAAAATTAACAGCCAAAATATAATAGTATTACGACAGATGTTCTCCAGCTGGACAGGCTTGCCTAAGAGGACAAGGAAAGTGTTTTGAACTGGGGATGTTAAACTTGGTTTTACCCTTCCAAAGACTCTGCTGTGCGACGATTGGAGCGAGTTTATGAGGAATATTTTATACAGTGATTCAAAGAAATGTTTTTGCATATACTGTATATGTTATTGATCTATTGTTGAATGTCACTTATATTATAAAGTGCCAATGGTTGGAATATTTATTCATTGATATTTTAAACACAGATGAAGTGTTATATGCTCTTTCCTTGTTTACGTTTTCCTTGCAGCCAAATGTTGTTGAAGCTGGCAAGCTGCAAAACTGACATATGAGTGATATGACCCAAATATTGGATATGCATCTTAGTTTGCTTCCAGTAAAATGTAAACAAGACCTTAAGAATTCTATACGAGATAAGAAATGTTACGTTTAAAATCATGACTGGCAAATTAGCATGTGCGAATTGATGCTTCCTAATAATAGTATGTACTCCAGTAAAGCTTGCTTGCTTCAATTCTTGCTGTTACCATCTGCACATTATCAGGGTGGAGAGTTGATTTGAATTTTTTGTCCCAGGGGATAAAGGTAGGGAATAGATTTTCCATCACAAAAGGGGCAAGGTGCCCAACCAGTTAGAAGATGGCATGTACTTTAAGTGACCATTCATTATACCCTAGGGTGGGGTGGGAGATTCTTATGTCAAAATGTCATGGGACCCCTTTTTAATCTCTTAATTTAATAATGGAGACCCCTCCTAAATATTTAAGACTATATAACATGATGCAATTCTAATCTTCATTCATGTGAATGCCTGACTATGAAGAAAATACATTTTGCAACACAGGGATGGATCCAGCATGATCTGGTGGGGGGGGGGGTGCTCTGCCAGCTCTGGTGCCGAGTTGTGTCGGTCATGTGTGTCGCCCGCCCATCAACTTGCTTCACTACTGCAAAGTCTTGCTTTACTACTGTATTTGAATGGTAATTGTTCACAGCTTGCTTATCATTATGTTATTACTCAAATTACTGTATCTCATTTTGCCTGTAATAATTTTTTGCTTTATCATGAAAAATAGCACCCCCTCTGGCCAGGGCTAGGGGAGTGCACAGCTCCCCTCCCCCCCAGTAAATCCATCCCTGTTGCAACATACACTACAAGAGCTAGAATGATTGCTTCCTTTGGATGATTTGTCTTAGAATTATATTACCTATATTACAACAATTCTTCCTATTCTGAAACCAGTTGCTATTCTGTTTTTACAACACTCACCCCCCCCCAAAAAAAAAGACTCAACAAATCAAGGACCCCCTCCAAGGCAATTTTGCCAGCAAAATAGATTAAATTTGATGGTAATTGTTCTGAGAATATATTAACTCATTGAGTGGCAGCATTCTGCCTAGACTTGCCACAAGTCGACCTCGAACGAAACGCAAGCAGCGAGTGTGAGCCGACGTTTCGTTCGAGGTCGACTTGTGGCAAGTCTACATTCTGCCCTTGAGTAAAATTGTCTGGCACCAGACAGAGTAATATACTAAAGTAGGGACATTGCCACTATAAAGGGTTAAACAAATTTTAAAAAAATTTGCAATGGTCTATATTCAAAAAGCTCAATTTGTAAATTTTAATTGACTTTAATTAAATTAATATAACTACTTATACTTATAGCTACCTTGCCCCAGTCACTTCAAGTGAATTCTACGGGAGGAGGGGGACATTGAAAATCCCTGGGTTTACTTGGTAAAAGCAAGAATTGAACCATGCATTACATGTATATGGAGAGCAGTTTTAAATATATTTTATCATGCAAATACCTTGATAATTGTTCTTAAACGTCTTTGGCTTAGAATGGGTACACCCTCCAAAGGTGTTTATTTACAGGGTCCAAAGGTGTAAATATACACTGTCCAAGGTGTTAATATAAACAACAAAAACAATGTATATAATTAAATTTTATTAAATAAAATGTGGAATATTTTACAAATTGCATTACCATCCCAAAGTGTACATAATTTATCAATATAATTAGGACTTAGAAGCTGTTCACATGAGTTTGACTCTGACCCAGCACCCTTGGCTAGCTCCCCTTGCCCGATCACAAGTAGAAAACCTCCAACCCCCTCTGACAAATCAGTCCAGATCTGCCCAAGAGGCAGGATTTTCTGGAATATTATTAGCAGTGAAATTGTTGCATATTTTCAAGCATGCATTGTAACCTGATTTTAAAGCCTGTTTGAACATCAGACATTGTGGCAATGGCAAGATGGTCCAGCCATATGAATACAATCTTAAAATATCATAAAAACAATGCAATTTAAGGCCAGACAGCCCAACTCCTGCGAACAGCCCTTTATTACACATTCGAAGCATCTCTTGAGGCATCAAAGTACTGTACATGCAGGCACATGGAATTACATACGAGTATGTGACATAAGCCCACCATTGCACAACTTTGTCTGCAACAATGCAAATACAACAAATGCAAATACAATCAAGCTGGAAACGGATTTTATCAGTATTTTGATATATACATTATGGCTCATGTCTAAAGACACCTGCACTTTCATATTGAAATTGTTCTAATATCATCCAAACAAAACACATCAGAAAACTGTAACATCAGCCAAATGAGCAAATCACTTTTTTAACACAATTTATGGTAAAATGAAGCAACATGTAATAGTATCTGAAACAAAACCAAATCACATATTATTCAAAGTTGTAAACACTGTTGCATATATGATATAACAAAATATCGTCGCATTTCTAGTGGTAACTAACTATAAATTAGGCCAATTTAAACTCGACTATGAAGAATATCAAAAACTAAAGGTCATGTTTCAGTTTATAAACCCAGACTTTAGCTTTATAAATATAAACATTATAAACGCTAAAACGCTATACGAAGCCAAATATGAAGGCACATTTTGCCCTAAATACTCGGTCAGAGCCTTAGAGGTGTGTTCTAGTACAGAATTAATCTTCTCTCACAGTTTAAAACAAACAATAATACTAACCTTGGACAAATTGTGTATAAATCGTATCGAATTTAACCATTTTGCCACAGATTTTGCCAAAAATTTTTCTTAGACGGACAAAGTATTAATAATGGTCGCTCCTTGTATGAAATGTTAATTTATCCCAAAGTTTGAATAAATTAATCCAAGATTGCATTATTTGCATAATAATATACTTGTCATTGACCAATCAGAATACATAGAAGACCGGCCGGTGCCAGGGCCTTTTCCCGCCTTCCCAATGACAAAAAGGGAAAAGCCCTGGGAACGAGGTTGGTCAAAATTAACAATTAAGATAGAAAATATTTACAAATAGTAGGGCTAGGAACTTTCTAGAAACCCAAAGGCTTTTATTTAAGGTAGCTAGTTACAATTTAGTAGTTCAATTGTTACAAGTTAGTAGTTCAATTGTTTTCGAAGTAATTATGACGATATATATATACAATAAGGAGATTTTATAAAAATATAATAGTAATTTAAGATTCAAGTATAACAATTACTTGTCCTTCTATGTGGCATGATGAATTAAAAAAAAATAAAAATAATAAAAAATTATTATAATGATTAAATTGAAAATAATAAAATTTTTAGATAGATGGCTTCATAATAAAATTAATCCAATTAAGGTTTATCTTTTTGTTTGTATTTCCCAACCATGTATTCGTTTGTGTAGTGTAGGCAGGGACGTGCTAGGGTCTTGAAAATGAGCAACGTCTGATGGGGCCCAGGCTCAGTGACGGATGGATCAAGATTGGGGTGGGGGTATTACTGATCAAACATGAAATATTTCAGTCGCTAATTAATCTTTTTTCCCAAGATGTAAAAAATTTTCGGACATACCATTTTTCTGTAACTTTCGAATTAATGTGCCGTAATTTTGTCGGTAATATTTTCGTAAATTTACATTTTTAAAAAATACAAATTGTAATATCTTAATCTTGATTTTCAAAATTAAAATCTATATTTTTTAATTTTTTACCTTTTTCAATCTTTTAATTTCAGGGGCCCAGTACGACCCTGAGCGTAGGCTAATCATGGCGTAAGCAAGAGTGTGTGAAGCCATTTCATTTATAAAATTCAGCAGGCCATAAACCATGAGGCCATGGGTGGGAGGAGATTGAGCATTTGAGCAGCATTTAAGTAAAATATTTTATATATTTTTCTAGGAAACTCAACATGCTGTTTCATCAAGCACCCCTGTTCCAGTAACACAAAACATATCATCAACATGTAGGTCTTAATTAAAAACTTTAGAAGTCTACAATGTGCTGTAACCGACCGAACAACGATGCGCGCACAAAATCCAAATCGACGAAATCGGAAATAGAATTGTGACTAAGTTTGAATGTTTCTCTTACTTGAACCTTCAAGAGCGGAAGCTGCTATTCTGCTTATCTTCATGCATAGGCGTTCGACACTGGGCGGCAATTGGCGGCAAGGAGAGCCCACCTCCAAAAAAAACAAAAAAAATATGGATAAGCAAGGAAATTTTGGGTAACGCTAGAAAAATTCGAGAAAATCATGGCAGATTTATCAGAAAATATGTTAAATTGGGGGTTATTTCATTACAATCACCCATTAAAATTTGGGCAAAATTTCAACTACCCCCGGCCCGGAAAGCATCCGCCCGGTACACCTATTAATGATAAACGATATATTAGGCCTGATTCACACTAGCAATTTTGTCGGCGATTTTCTCCTCCTGGCAAAATTGCTCTTATGAACCAGGCTTTAAAATAATTTATTTAATATATGTTAATTTCTAAACAATATTTTGTTAATATATTTTCAGCAAAAGCGGTAACAACAACTGAAACAGACAGTTCATCAACTCAGGAGACATGTAAGTTCACATTGAGAACACTTTCACAATGTCAGTTATAGAAATTAACGAAAAAATTTAATGTCAATAATATTTACATGGTTAATACTGAATTTTCACCTTTAATTTTAAAACTTAACTTTGTAGTTCTATCTACAGCAAAATCCACACCGGAAAACACCGAAGGTTTAATAACTGAACTAACAAGTTATAAGTTTATGAATATAAAACTTCCATGGCATCCAATTTTGCTTTCTAATTGACTTGCCTAAATTCATGCAACCATAGTGATGTTCTTAATCGACACCGAATAAGACAAATGGTTCGGAAGCTGAACCAACAAAGTTGTTCATGATTACAATGAGTCAATTTAAAAATTCCACTTTGATTCGTCCGTGTTACATAGAATTACTAGTAATAAGATTTATTAAAATAACTTTTCTTTCAATAATTATATGCAAATTAAAATCTACACCGAAAGATTTGACAACTCATTATATTCATAATGAATCAATGGAAATATTAAATTTTGTGATTTGAAATAACTCTTCTTTATAATTATAGCAGAAGACGCACAGATAAAGACAGATAGTTCTACAGCACAAGGTTAGAGTGCTGTAACGAAATGGCATCAAGGGCCACACGTTCTTCGCAGCTGCTCCCGCGGTTATAGATCTATGTAAAGTTTATACACTCAATATTTCGATCTTAAAAGACATCTCAACAAAACCCATATCCAGCCTTTCAAGTTTTTTTAACAATATTAAATTATATAAATGTTCGCAACTGCATGCTCCTTGTTATATCTAATAAATGTATAAAAATTTTACTCGAATTTTCCACTTCTAAATCCCTTCAACAGAAACTCCAATTAAGCCTAAAATGTTAACATAGTGAAAGGTTGGAAAATTCGACTGCATTTTTTATACATTTATTAGATATATCAACGAGCAGTTGCAAATGCAGATGATGCATCTATATATAGAGCCGATAATCGCATTTTTCAGAACTGCATAGTTAGATCTAATAAATATTTAACATTTCACTCGAATTCTTCACTTACATATCCCTTTTATGTTCTTTTAAAATATCCCGTCTTAATAAGTATTATAATAACATCTACACCGAAAGAAACAGACAGTTCGACACCTCAACCAATAAGTATATGTCAACCTCTATATTCGGTGCATGTTTAAGACTACTACAGATTAATTGTTATGCTTTTAAAGACTTTTCTCCAAAATTATAGCAACAGCCACACTGGGAAAGACAGATAGTTTAACACCTGAACCAACAAGTGTGTTCACAATGAATCAATGCGAATATCCAAAATTAATTATTTTTCCCTATAGGCTATTAAATTTCTATGGTTTTAAATTTACTCTTCTCTATATTTATAGTAGCAGCAACATCCCAAAATGCAAATGATTTAATAACTCAATCACCAAGTATGGGCACAATGAGCCCAATGCAAAAATTGAATATTCATCTTTTTATCCTAACAATATTAGATTTTCATGGTTTTAAATTTACTCATTTCTATTATTACAGCGACATCTCCACCGAAGAAGACAGATGGTCTAACAAAGCAACAAACACGTAGGTTCACAATTTCAAAATTCAACAATTTCAAAATTGAAAATTCAAGTTCACTTCGATATGTTTCATTCCTTTTCAGCCAAATCTAGACCGAAAACGACTGAAGGTTCCACAACTCAACAAACAAGTAATTTCACAATGAATCAATGTCAAAATTTTATTTATCCTTGCATTCTAAGAACTTGAATTTGTTACGATTTTAAATAGTACTCTTAAACTATACACCGAATAAGACGGATGATTCAAAACTCAAACAACAAGTATTTGCACAATGAATCAATTCAAAATGGTGTATTCATTCTTATCCTACGAATTGATTTTCATCGTTTTAAATTGACTATTTTTTGTAATTATTGCAGGTGTGCATCGGATCGGACTGAACGTTAATAATCCGACCATTGGCCAATGTTTAAAATCCGATCCGATCCGAAATTGTCTAATCCGAATCCGACTCCGAGATTTGATAAAGAATTCCAATCGGATCTGATCCGATGAACCTTTAATAAAATAAATATATTTCTCATTCAAGTGGAATATTTAATCAAATAAATATAAAAACAAGAAATACATGTCAAGAAGCTGACAAAGCGATGTTCAATTGACAAAAACAAGAAATACATGTCAAGAAGCTGACAAAGCGATGTTCAATTGACGTGTCAAACGATTAATGCAGCAACAGCCGCGTTGTCGTGGATTAATTCATTTTATTTCGAATATCGAAATCCGATCCGATCCGACTACGAGACAATTTTATCAATTTTACACAGAAATGAATATTTTTGTTCCGAAATTTAAATCAGAACGAATCCATTCGGATCGGATTGGTTTCGGATCAGATTTACAAACCTCTAATAATTATAGCTAGTAACATCGACATTGAAAAAGACAGATGATTCAATAACTTAACAAGTAAGGAATTCCACAAAAGTTCACTCCCATATCCGTCCTTTTTTCGAGAATGTCAAATTTCTGGCTTTTAATTCAAACAACTTTCTTTATAATTATAGCACAGTCTACCAAGACAAAGACAGATGGTATGAATCATTGTAAAAATTGTATGATTATCTTTAGAATATTAATTTTCTGCTGTTTTAAAGATTACTCTGCTTGATCAATGGCAACACTTAGACAGAAAAAGACAGATAGTTTAACATCTGAACCAACAAGTATATACATGCACAATGAATAAGTTAAAAAAAATTATATTCATACCCTTCATCCTATGAACATAAAATTTTTGATGTTTTAAATATTTCACATCTCTCTAATTAAAGCAAAATTGAAACCGAAAAAACAGATGCTTCAAAAACTCAACAAACAACTAATTTTGCGATGAATGAATGCAAATATTCTATATTCATCCTATTATAGCTTTCTTCCGAAAAAAATAATTTTTTCATTTTAAATATTTCTCTTCTTTTTATAGCAACATCTAAGCTGAAGAAGACAGCTGGTTTAACAACTCAACCAACAAGTATGTGCAGAATGAGTCAATGCAGAACTTCTGTGCATGTTTATCCTTTTATCCTTTTATCCTTAATTAAATTTATGATTTAAAATACTACTCATCTCATTTTAGCTACATCCACACAGGAAAAGACAGGTGGTTTAACAATTCAACCAACAGGTACGTACAGAATGAGTCAATATAGAACTCCTGTGTTCATTTAATATAAACAGAGGATATTACACGGCGCCGCGAAAATACAACTTTTATCTTCGAGTGGCGAAAACAATATTTTACGAACGAGCGCAGCGAGTGAGTAAAATATTTTTTTAAACACGAGAAGATAAAAGTCATATCTTCAAGCGCCCGTGTAATGTTCTGTTTATTATATAGTCCCAAGCAAAAAATTGTGAAATTTCACGCTCAAAAGCAAATTGAAAAAGTCACGTGATCGATATCTTCACTAGTGAAGATGTGGAAAATATTGCACACTGTGTATTTTCAGTATCTCACTCTCTACCATATATAACTGGCTGCTGACGAGGCAGGATTTTCCCGCGTTGCCCACGAGCAATACGCAATTTTTATTGCCCAGCGACGAGAGACGATGTTTTTGTAATTTTATGGAATTTTATTGTTTTCATATTTGTTGTCTTATTTTTCCTCGTATTTTTCTTGAAATACTATCCAAACTGTGTTAGTTTTCTATATAAAAAGTACTGTAAAGCAGTCTTAGTAACCAAAGAACATTTTTACAATTTTTTTTTCAAACTGTTTTGGACTTTGTACTTTGTACCTGGCGTGACCTAATTTTCTTCCATTTTTTACAACGTACAATGCCATATAATAAAAACCTTACTGACCTCAACCGTTCGGGCAGTACGGGAAATCATACAACCTCTGTCTTGCTGTATTGACCTCGCTATCGCTCGGTCAATACAACAAGACCTCGGTTGGATATTTTCCCGTACTGCCCTCACTCTTAGTCAGTAAGTTATTGATATTAAATTTTTATCAGTTCCTTTTTTAACTATATATCTGGAGGGGGGGGGGGGCAATTGCCCCTGCCGGGAAAGAATTCCCCCACCCCAGTAAAACCATTTCTGCCCCCGAAATGCGAAGCAGAGTTGCTCATTATGGCTGTCAGAATTGCAGTTGATTTACTTGATAATGAGACTATGCCCTTCCATAACCTCTTCCACAGCCATCTTGTGTGTAATTCATATTGTTCTTCACCGAGTATTTCATAATAGCGATAGATTTCATGCAAACAATCCGATAAAATGGTAGCCTCTCCAAGCCTTGCGACTATTTCCTAGCACTCTCCTTCGCAGAGGCGTTGTGTTTTGTTTTGGGAGGCTTTATTGCAAATTTTTTTTCTTATAAAATATCAAGTTATATTAAAGCCCCCCCCCCCCCAAATCGCCACAAAAACCATTCTCTCAGAAAGGCTAAATCCATAGAGAAATTGAGGGAGGAGGGAGGGAGGGGTACACGTTACATGCTCGAAGCTGAAACTGATTAAGTACGTCTCGACTGAGGAACTTGATTTGTGAAATCTCGATATACTGAAAGAACTCGATTTGTGAAATCTCGTTAAAGCAGTTGTAGATATGGTTCCAAGAAGAATTGATTTAGTTTAGATTTTTAACTGTTAAATACATGTATGTATGCATCATCATAGCATGAACATTTCTTCTCAGGCTTATTCTCTATCGTACGAAAAAGCAACACAATTTTTAGAATGCGGAAATAGTGTCTCATAGAACCTAAAATGATTTAAATGCAACAGTCCTGATTAAAATCACATTGGGTTACCCCCCCCCCCCCCGGAATCACAGAGAGAAAATAAGGTGACACTGACCCCTACTCCTATTTTTCAAGGCGACTTTTCCAATTTATTTAATTCCGAGTAGAAAAGTCTAGAAAAATTCATGTCTTCGATGTACTTTATAATCTTCGGAATTCTGCAAGATTTCATTCCCAAAATGCATGAAATCCCAATTCAGGGACCCTAGATTTCATAATTTTCCGCACCCCGGACCCTCCTAGACGGTCTCGCCGGAGGCTCCGGAATATCGATAATTGGGGTGGGGGAGATATTCATATATTCGTGTTCTGCCTAATTAATTTCTTTTGTAATCGATTGTTTTTACAGCCTGTGAACACGAATATATGAATATCTGCCCCCGCAATTATTGATATTCCGGCGCCTCTGGGTCTCACGCCTTCGGCGTGAGGTTTGCCGCCGCAAAATTAAGGTTTAGCTACGCCACTGGTTACAGCTGTACGATTATAGCTACAAAGAGTTGAAGTTATTATATAGTAGATAGTGAGATACTGAGAAATACACAGTGACATATTTTCCATATCTTCACTAGTGAAGATATCGATCACGTGACTTTTTCAATTTGCTTTTGAGCGTGAAATTTCACAATTTTTTGCTTGGGACTATATAATAAACAGAACATTACACGGTGGCTTGAAGATATGACTTTTATCTTCTCGTGTTAAAAACAATATTTTACTCACTCGCTGCGCTCGTTCGTAAAATATTGTTTTCACCACTCGAAGATAAAAAGTCATATCTTCGCGCCGCGGTGTAATATCCTTTATTTATTGTTTAAAGTAAAATATAGCTGAAGTTAATAAATTAAAGTTTTACAAAATATCTCTTCAGAATCGCGCGTTCGCCAAACTTCGACGGCTCATATTTTTCGTCCTGCCTTTTTTTCTGTTTTGCCCCCCCCCCCCAGTGAAAATTCCTTAAAAAGGCACTGATTTTTATTGTTTTAAATTTTACTCGTCTCTTTATAGCAACATCTAAACCGGCAAAAACAGGTGGTTTAACAACAAGTAGGTTCACAATTTTAAAATTCTACTATAGTTAAGGAGGCTCCCTACAGTTTCCAATATATGTCAAAGTTTTAAACTAAAAGCTATTTGAATCAAAAGAAAATAATTTTTGAACAAGCCATTGTTTCCTCTTATATAAAAGAGTAATTTTAACCCACAATCGCTACTCTTCACGTTACCATGACAACATAACGTCGCCATCTATGTGGCCAATATCAACCAAAAAAGCCGCCTTAGTGGACAAATAAGCACGGTGACCTACCTTTATTAATTGCAGAAAATACATGCATTGTTATGAAGTTTTGAATCGTTTTTGAAAGTTATTTGAAAATCACAAGGGTAGTTTTCGAGAGACTGAATTTCAGCCTTTCCAAATGCTAAAATGCAATCTTTTAAGATTGCATTTTAGCCTTGGAAAGGCTGAAAGTCACTTCCGTTTGCTTTCTTTCATTTTCTTCCTCAATATAAATATGTTATGCTTTTAAATATTTTTTTTAAATTATAGCCAAACCTACACCGAAAACGTCAGATGATTTCACAACTCAACAAACAAGTAATTGGACAATAAATCAATGTAAAAATGCTATATTCATCCTTGCATCCTAAGAATATTAAAATTTTATGGTTTTTAAATTTACTCTTTTCTATAATTCTAGTAACATCTACTTCCAAAAATGCAGATGATTCAACAACTCATTCAACAAGTATGGGCACAATGAGCCAACGCAAAAATTCAATAATCATCCTTTTATCTAAGAATATTAAATTTTAATGGTTTTAAATTTACTCTTCTACATTATTACAGCGACATCTACATCAAAAAAGACAGATGCTTTAATAACAAGTCAACAAACAAGTAGGTTCACAATTCTAAAATTCAACAATTTTAAAATTTAAAATTCAAGCTTACTTCGATATGCTTCATTAATTTTTTTAATATAACCAAATTTACACCAAAAACGACTGAAGGTTTCACAACTCATCAAACAAGTAATTTCACAATGAATCAATGTCAAAATTATATTTATCCTTGCATTCTAAGAACATGAATTTATTATGATATTACTCTTCCAATTTTAAGCCACATATACACCGAAAAAGACGGATGATTCAAAAGCTCAAACAACAAGTATTTGCAAAATGAATCAATTCAAAAATTGTGTTTTCATTCTTTTATCCTAAGAATTGATTTCCATCGTTTTAAATTCACTATTTTTTATAATTATTACAGATGTGCATCGGATTGGATTGGACGTTTAGTATAATCCGACAATTGGCCAATGTTTAAAATCCGATCCGAAACTGTCTAATCCGAATCCGATCCGAGTTTTGATAAAGAATTCCAATCGGATCTGATCCGATGAACCTTTAATAGAATAAATATATTTTTCATTCAAGTGGAAATATTTAATCAAATAAATATAAAAGCAAGAAATACATGTCAAGAAGCTGACAAAGTGACGTTCAATTGAAGTATCAAACGATTAATGCAGCAACAGCCGCGTTGTCGTGGATAATTAGTTCATTATTTCGAATATCGAAGTCCGATCCGATCCGACTACGAAACAACTTTATCAATCCAATCCGAAATGAATATTTTTGTTCCGAAATTTAAATCCGAACGAATCCAATCGGATCGGATTGGTTTCGGATTCGGATTAGATTTGCACAGCTCTAATAATTATAGTAACATCAACATTGAAAAAGACATATGATTCAACAACTCAACCAACAAGTAAGTTAAAATTCAGAAATTCCACGAAAGTTCACGTCCATATACTCTTCCTTTTTTCGAGAATGTTAAATTTCTTGCTTTTAATTCAAACAACTTTTTTATAATCATAACACAGTCTACCGTGAGAAAGACAGATGGTATGAATCATGGCAAAAATTCTATAATTACCTTTAATTAATCTTTAGAATATTTATTATATACATGACAAAATTACTGCAATCTGATTGGTTAAGAGGAGTGCAATTATTTCATTAATTATTTATCTTCTGTAATCAGTGGCAAGTACTGCAATTTCATTGGTTTACAGGAGTGCGATTTGAGCATTAATCGCACCTTTTCTGAGCTGTAATCGCACTCTTGTCTACAGCCAATGAAAATCAGTCTAGTATTTACAACTAGCCAATCAGCATTCAGGATACAAACTTTGAATTTTATTTTTTTTATTGCTGTAAAAAAATTCAAAATGGAGGAATTCACAAATTTTGACCTTTTAATTTTTAAATCAGCCCTCGAAAACCGTCAAAATTGAGGTCGGAAAAAAAATGCCGACCTAAATCTGACCTAGCTCGGCACATCTCGGCATTTTTTAAAATCTGTTTCTATGTCTTGGAGCACTACTAGCCTGCACTAGTAATCACGTATTTACGAATCATTGAAAAGTATAAATGTCACGAAGCCTTTTCTTTTAGAGTTTTTCCGAAATTATATCATAAATATACCCGTTAATTCTCAAACCTTACACCAAAGTGCATCGAATTCTATAATCGCTGACTTTTTAACAGCTATAAGCACCAAAAAAATTATTACTTTGGCTGAATTAAGGTCGGCAAAACATAGGCATTTTAATACTGTAGGTCGGCATTGCCGAATGCCGATCTCGTTTTCGAGGGTTGTTAAATTATATATTTTCTGACGAAAATGACCTACCTGTTCATCCAGCAGAAGACACCGAACTAAACATAACCAGGAGTTATATTTTTATCCAATTCAGATGATTAATTGGACTAAAGAACTTCACTATTTTGAACACGTTATAAACATACAAACATGGCTTCCCA